TTTTGTCTCTATTTCTGGTTATGCGTGACGCGCACTATCAGTTTCCGGAATTAATAAGAAAAAAATATTATAGATGGTCAGAAATGAATTTATTGTTTCTCAAAATATTCTCCGTTAGCGTTAATGCACTTTTTCATACGAATGAACCAATTTTGAAAACATTTTTGCCACTCTTCCGTGACAATCTCTGAAACATATTTTTCATACTCTTCGACAGCCTCTTCAGGTGATGAAACTCGTTGACCCCGTAACTGGTTCTTAATTTTTGTAAATAAATAATAGTCACAAGGTGCCAGGTCGGGACTGTACGCGGGATGGCTCATAAGTTCAACGTTGTTCACCTTCAAGAATTAATTTGTCTGTCTGGCCGTGTGAGAACTGGCGTTATCGTGGTGCAATATGGTACGGCGTTTACGGTTATTTGTACGGAGTTTGTCACTAACTTCCGGCAAACAAATGGTCGTGTACCAATCACTATTCACGATACAACAGTTCTCCAAAGCAACAATAGCCACGTGTCCAGTTTTATTAAAAAAAGAAGCAATCGTCCGCTAAGAGGCACTCTGCACGCGCGCCACTTTGGTTCATTTCGATTAATCTCGAAAGACCCATACGCTCGATTGCTGCTTTGTTTTGGGATCGTACCTATAAATCCATGTTTCGTCATGTATGTCCCAAATTTGACGCCCCTTCGTTGAATCTGGTATCTGGCATGGCATTGCACCAAATAACGCGATCCGTTTTTTGAGCCTCAGTCAAATTGTGTGGGTTCCACCGAGACCACAGCTTGTTCACACCCAAATGTTAGTGAGGATCGATTGTATTTGACTCATGCATATGCGACCATCACGAAATTCGTCACTGAGATTCACACGACCGCGTTTGAATTCTGTAAACCAGCTACAAATAGTCGTCTAGCATGGTGCTTCATTGCCAAAAGCAGTTTGAAGCCGAGCGAAGCTCCGCTAAGCTGTTACATTACACTTAAAGTCGTAGAAAATCATACTATGAAATTTTCACGAGTTAAATCCATGGTGATGTAGACAACCAATTTCTAAAATGACGCCACAATGTAAAAACAAATGACAGTCAGATGAAACAAACTATATTCTACATCCAAAGAGTTCCATTTTCAAATGTTGTAATTAGTTTTTAAATATTGTTTATGTAGGTGGCTAGTTCCGGAAACTTATAGTGCGCCCTATGTATACTCGATAGTTTTACGTGGAGCTACCATATCGTCTCGTCTCGTCTGAGTTAACCTTTATATAAGGTCGATAAAAAGTAAAAATATATATCTTCAAAATTGACTTACAAATAAATGGACGACGGGTCTAATACACAAACCACGAAAGAAATGTCCCAAGTCAACCTATTTAAACGTAGTGACATGTAAAGGAATATGAAAAAGCTAAAACGTTGAATTTAAATTGTAATGTCATCGCAGTACTGTCTAATTTTGCTTGCTTCGCTGTCAGTCGAACAAACGAAGACTAAAGCGTGAATGACGCTCTGTATACGATTTTAACGCCCTATAAGTTCGAACACTTTTTAGCGCGGACCCGACGTCCATATAATTGTAAGTCAATGATCTTAAAGCAGAATTTCAAAGAAGTTATTTCCAGCACCGAGCGATTATTTTGTTGTTTATGTGGAATATTGTTTTGTAATGTAGCATTTTCCAGGAAAGCCTCCGAATCAAGTACACTAATTTTAATTTGTATCAAATGTCAATTCCTGTAAAATGCAATTTAAGTGACTGTAATACGCATTTACCCGCTAACTGTCACATTCTTACATATAAAATTTCTTATCTGGAGACGTCCGTGCTCACTCAATAGCGCATCCATCCAAAATGTTTTATTTATCAGTGTACCAACCCTGAATGGCTGAAGGAAAAGTAATTGGAATTTTTAATCTCTTTTATGCTATGTCGATGGGGTTTCACCAATTTATACTTTTTCAATCAAGCTTTTTACCACGGCATTTTATTCTTGCTTACGATAGGGATATCCATGGTGATGCTTCATTATAATTTTAAATGTGCAATAAATAATATTTCACGTATTACTTCGTAATAAGTTCAACACAACATAGTACAGCCTCAGATTACAAATTCATAATCTGAGAGTATAGCTATATCGACTGTGAACTGGCAACCAGTACTATCTCAATTTTGACAACTTTACAGGTGAAGAAACAAATCATTAAGTAACACCTGGTTATTAAATAAAAATATGTAGTGTGTTCTATGTGTAATAAAAATATATAAAACTACGTGTTTTTGTTTAATAAACCAGATGCTATATAACTAACACAAACAATTTTTTTTCTTCATCCTGTTGAGTTGTTAAAATTGAGATAGTACCGTTTGCCAGTTCACAGTCGCTATATCTACAGTATCTACAGTAAAAATAAAGAACACACAGCTTGATTACACAATCGTTTATTTTGAAAACCATTTCACGGTAAAATTAATTGTTGGATAGAATATATGTATAATATAAATTAATTAGTTCTGAGCACTATAGACCTCTTACGACAGCGCTGCAAAGGTCTTACTCTGCATGATGATTCTCTAGACTCTATATGAGCCATATGAGCGCACAAAAATTACTCTATCCTTAAACATGAGACAAGATTTCATCAGAAAATTTTCTTGAAAACTACAAAAGTGACTATACCTTTATTCCGTCTGTTAAGAATGGCGTTGTTCAAAATAGTTTTATTCATATATAACAGATGACGCTGTAACAACATAGTTCTGCTAATGAACAAAGATGGCGTTATTCTACAAAGCGACGTGTATTGTTAGAGGCGTGCGTTTAGACATTTTAAGTGTTCCTCAGTTCAATACTTGGGTGACTATTTCATTTTTTTCGAACGTACCTATAAATATCACGACTCATGATCCATCCAAGTTTCCTAATCAAATTAATCTGAATAATATTGTTGTAAATAAAAATTAAACTCGAAGTCTGAAAATCCCTTAGAGGATGGAAAAAAATAAAGGGAAAAGAAAATAATCTAAGGAAAATCCTCGTTTTTCGCTGTCCACTCAAAGTTGCAAGCTTTTTGTAACATAAAGTCTATAGGCATAAACGGTTTTGTAAACAAATTTGTAAACTTCAAACTAAAAAGTATTGCAGTAAAAAGTCCTTTTTAAATATTTTTAAATTTATATGCAGCTTATGTAAGCGGTACATACTGTAGCATTAACTCAATCAATTAGAAGATTTTTTGTTAAATATTTTGGGTAACTGCACATGATTCGTGAATGGCCTGGTGTATATCTCGGTCTGTCATAGTCTGCTGTCTGATTTATTGCTCCTGCGCCAGCACTAGATGTCCCGATTTGTCCAACGTAAAAATTGGACGTAGTCGACGATTTCTGTAATACAAATACTTTCATTAATACAACATCTAAATAACTAACTATTGCTCTTAAACTTAGAGAGTTGTGTTGAAAACTATATCGTTGCCTTGGATGAGTAGGGCATCAACTCAAAAATTTGGATATTTTACTTTAAAACGCAGTCATATTAAAAAAATCGATCTTTCTAATGAAAAAGGTCTTATAAAGATCGGACGTGAAATGGCGCTGGAGGCAGGGTAGTTAGTATCTCTGAACCATCGAGTATTTAACCAGAAATAGAGACGAAATAAGAACAATCCATCCCTGGCAACTTACCAGGCAGATGGGCCTTGTATCACTTTTAAATATCAACTTTCGTTTGCAATGAAATCACAAATTAGAAAACTGAAATAGAACAGCGCCAACAACCGACCTGTGTGTACCAAAAATATTCTGTATTTATTATAATAAAGATCATCAGATATTATCTTAATATCTCTAACAATGGGGGCTGTTCCATTCGGTGGTGTGCGAAAAACAGATAAACATCTAATTATAAAACAAACGGAATCACATTTCACCGGTGATTAAATATGTAATTTTTTAATTTTTGTCCATTATAGCAAAGCTCAACTTAAACTGGAACATTTAAAGTGAAACAATTTACGACACCTGTCAATTGTTTCGGATTCGGGCTAGCCAATCGGAGCGCAGTTGTCACCGGAATGATGTGGCAGAAAGTTTTTAAACAAATTAATTACGTCTCTATTTCTGGTTATTCATATACTCGATGGTTTGATAATATAACGCAATCCACCGTATTCTGAACTACATATAGTTACACAGGTTATTAATTTAAATACCTTATTTTTAATTTGCCCTGTAACATTTCAATTTTCGCTACATACGATTTACAAACATTTTTTAACAGTATTATTTTTCAATTTAATAATTAAAAGAAATTATATAAATAAGTAATAAATAGGAATCATATCGTTAAAAAAATATTTGCAAATCGTAAATTGGAAGTTACACGGTAAATTGAAAATAAGGTATTTAAATTTAAAGTAATAACTTTTGTAACTGTACTTACTTATTTACTTATAATAATTAATAGATTGGTGGGCATTAATGTTAGACATAACCGGTTGATGGCGTTAGTTAATAGGTTGGTTGGCATTAATGTTAGACAAAACCGGTTGATGACTTTATAACTTAATAGGTTGGTTGGTATTAATATTAAACATAACTGGTTGATGTGTTTATAAATTAATAGTTTGGTTGGCATTATTGTTGGACGTAACTGGTTGATGAGCTTATAATTTAATAGATTGGTTGTCATTAATGATGGATATAACCGGCTGATGACTTAATAAATTAATAGATTGGTTGGACCTAACTGGTTGATGACTTTATCATTCCAGTCACCCGTGAGCTTGTAAAGAGACCGAAACGTTGAGTTATTTGAAAAATAAGTATATGCTATTTAGATCCAAAAAATAAGTTTCATTTCCCACGTCTTCTATCTCTAAGGTCCCGGGTTCGATCTCTGGTCAGGTCAACGTAGAAACCAACTTTCCAATATTATCTCGGGTCTGGATGCTTATGCCACCGCCGTAGTTTCCATTTTCAATAACACAAAGGCTTACTTACTTCCGGATCAAAATCAACGTATGTGATGTAGAAATCTGAGAGCTAGGGAATATATTATAAATTTACGAGATAATCCGAATTTACCTGAGTTTAGCACTCTTTCTCCTATTTCCTCTGGCAACAGCTGTAGCCTCGGCATTGGCTTGGCCATCTTCAGTTACTGCCTGAAAAAAAATTGAAACAATGAGAGAGCAGTGGTAACTCAAAATATAGGGACAATCTAACGTGCCGACTATCATAGCCAGGACGATATTGGAGCTGGCCCGCATTTTGCGCACCAGTGACGCACACCTTTTGAGCATCGTTGCATAGAAGCAATCAGTGCTTGCCGCCGCGAACATACCCGAAGCGTTGTAGGAACGGGGCAGCCAACATATTCGCTCTCCTAGACAATGCCCTCCGCTCACGTTCCATGTCAACATTGTCTCCGAGGACGACCGTTACTATGTGCCCTAGGTATTTGATATTGTCTACTCCATCTAGAGGAACACCAGGATATATGGATGGTACATTTTGTGGACGCTTAGCTCCACCCGCCACGAATACCATGTACTGACTTTTGGTTGCGTTATTCTTTGGCCATGTTCATCAGCATAACTTTTCTAAGACTTGCAACAGCTGTCTTAGGTCGCAGACCGACGCACTCTGCAGAACCATGTCATCCGCGTAACTAAGATTATTGAAGCAAACGTCATCAACGTGACAGCCGACATGGCGACTGCTGAGCTCGACGATCACCCCATTCATATAAATGTTGAACAATGTGGGTGAGGTCAAACCACCCTGCCTCACACCGCACTGAAGCTGATACGACTCCAACGTTGCACCCGCCCATCTGACGCTGTTAACCTGGTGTGCATACCAGAACTTAAGGATGTTTATAAGTTCACGCGGCAGTACCATGCTCTTCAATTTATTCCATAAGACATTATACTCCACCAGGTCACAAGCCCTTTTTAGGGCTGTCACAACAAAACTTTGTTAACTTAAATAAAGACGGTAACACATTGGACTTATGCTTTAGTAATCTACCCCTAACGACTAGCCATTGTTTGCAGTCTGTTCTTAAAGAAGATTTGTATCATCCCTCACTTTATGTATCCGTAGCGGACATACAAGCAACATACTTAAAAGAACGATACTCCCCGCGTTTTAATTTTAAAAAAGGCAATTATTCTAAAATGAATGAATTCTTAGGGAGGACTTACTGGAACAATATATTATCTACTGACAATATTGACAATGCTGTTGAAATATTTTATAGTAAGTTGCACGAATGTTTTAGCTTGTTCGTACCTATCTATACAGCTAATAGATCACATTACCCTGTTTGGTACAGTCCAGCAACGCTCATAAAAAAATGCCCTAAATATTTCTGGACTTATGTCAAATCAAAGAGAGGCTTGTCGAATTATCCCAATAGTTTCACATTTAACAACGTAGAATACACCAAAGTTGAGGATATCTCCGCAGCATTCAACAACTTTTTTAAAAGTGTTTTTAATTATTCAACAAATGTGAATAACAGCTCTTCTTCAGCGATCAATACCTTTTTTAGCACGGATGTAGTTACCCAAATTCACATTAATGTCAAAGAAGTTGAAAAAATGTTGAAGTCATTAGATAAATATAAAGGAGCGGGTTGTGATGGTATTCCGCCACATGTTCTGGCCTCTTGTGCTGAAACCCTTTGTGTACCAATTACTATTTTGTTTCGTGGGTCACTTAGCAGTTGTGTCTACCCTAGAATATGGAAAAGGGCTCACATTATCCCCATACACAAGAAGGGTTCCAAATCATGTATAGAAAATAATCGTCCGATTTCTATTCTTCATACCATAAGTAAAATTTTTGAAAGGATTGTGTACAATAATATATACAGAGTTATTGCGGCAGGGTTACCGCTGACTCAGCATGGGTTCGTTAGAAGACGTTCTGCGGTCTCAAATTTGGCTGTGTTTGCAAATTATTTACTAAATGAAATGGAAAATGGAGGTCAGGTTGACGTGGTCTACACTGACTTCGAAAAAGCTTTTCATCGTGTGGACCACGACATTAGAGACATTAGGTATCCACGGAGACTTACTTCGTTGGGTGCGATCTTATTTGACCAATCGTTCTCAGGCTGTGGTCTTGGGAGGATTTAGGTCCGATTACTTTACAATTCCGTCTGGCGTCCCTCAGGGCTCACACTTTGGACCTCTGTTTTACAACGCCTATATTTATGATATTAATAATCACATAATTAACGCTAAGAACTTACTCTATGCCGACGACAAAAAGATTTACATGCAAGTCGATCCACAGCTGACTGTGAGAAATTACAACAAGATTTAAACAATTTGTACAATTATTATAGTAGTAACAGAATCACAGTCAACGCCAGTAAATGTCAATGTATAAGTTTTACTCGTAAAATACATCCAATTGTATATCCGTACCATTTCAGTGGTAACGCTATTGAGAGGACCCACATTGTGCAGGACCTGGGTGTTTATTTTGATTCCAAAATGCTTATGTCTCATCATTATAACAGTATTACTAACAGGGCATATAGGAATTTGGGCTTTGTTTTACGAACTTGTCAATCGTTTAATTGTGCGACCACTTTAAAATTGTTGTATTCGGCATATGTCCGTAGCATATTGGACTATGCTAGTCCTACACTCTATAGTGTTTATATTAATCAAATTGAACGAATTCAAAAGAGGTTCCTAAAGCATTTGAATAATAAATGTAGATTAACCGATTTTCATTCACCTTACGTTGATATCTGTCGCACATACAATTTGTTAAGTCTCCAGGAGCGTCGTGAGTTGTTGGATATGGGTCTTTTGTTTGATGTACTCAATGGTCGTTTGGATTGTCCAGATTTATTACAGCAAATAAGTTTTCGAGTGCCTGCCCGTCGTACCAGACATACGTGTCTTTTTCATGTACCATTTCACTGCACAAACTACGGCAAAAACTCTGTGCTCACAAGATTAGTTACTGGTTACAATAAATATTTCTGTGACGTTGATCCCTTTGTAGATAAAAAGCATCCTTTCCAGTCAAACATTAAAGAATTAATTTTCAAACGCGATGCGTAGGTTCACTTAATTCACTTAATTTATTTTATTTTGCTCATTTATTTATTCATTTCTTTTATAGTTATAGTTTGCTATTTTTATAATGTTAGAAGTATTTATGATTTAGTGTTAAGTTGTATTCATATGTAGGTACAGTGTATAATACTTATTAATATTAGGTTTTATTGTGTATAGTAAGTATTGTTTGTATGTAAGTGTACGTATTTAGTTTACTTAATTTGTTTCACAATTATATGTATGTATATAATCTGTATAATTATTTATCACGCTTATATACCCCGTGCTCTGTTTTTATTTTAATGTATAAATCGAGTATAACTGTTATTGGCTTTGTAATACGTAATTAATTTTTTGTAACCTATCATTATTGCTGTTGTTATCCCAAATAAATAAATAGATAAGTCGAGGAAGCACGCATAGACTGGCATTTTACGGGCGGTGTAATACCTAACGGTGTGGACAATTTGGGTCTAAAGCCGAATTGATTGTCGTGCAGAGTTGTGTATCTTTCTAACTGTGTATTAAGCACCCCATCAAACACCTTGGCGATAACCTTAGCTAGGGAAATGGGCCTATAGTTGTTCTTATCGGCCAGGTCACCCGTTTTATTTCTCACTATAGGTACCACCACCGTTCTCATAAGATGCGACGGCAAGTACGAGTGACTCACGCATAACGGGTAAAACATTGCAAGAACTCTAGATGTATGAGAACCAGCGTGCTGTAGGTGCTCGATGCTGAGTCCATCGTGACCCGGAGATTTTCCTTTCGTCATGTTTCTTATAACATTCAACACTTCCTTAGCTGTGACCACAACATTTACCGCCTCGTCCGGCTCATCAGCACCGAACACCTGTAGCCCCGGACTCAAGGGAGATTGTACAGTAAAATGCTTCCTAAAGACATTAGCAATGGTCACATACACCGTCGATGCTCACGGGGCTAGCTTTTAAGTTCTCTTTTCTTACATTTTTCCAGAAACTTCGAAAATCACCATTTACATGTTTCTCCGCAAGGGCATCCATCTTTATTTGGTCCTGATGAATTTGGCACTATTTCAGTCGTGATTTGAATACCCTTCTATTTTCACATATTTCGAAAAACCCATTCAGAAAACTTCAGCCACTCTATGAGCGCCAGGGACATACCTATTCCAGCCCGTTACTCGCAACCCACTCCTACCCGCTCCAGTGTCCCCTCGACCTGCATAGGACGCATCACGAAAGACAAATACAATGTCAGAGTAAAGTCTATCAAGAACATGTTTTTGACTTTCGTCATCATAATAGCCTTTCGCACAATTCAAAAATTCGGAAAGAAAATCAATTAATTTGTCTTTTATGACACTCTTCAGAATACTTAGCCACCTGTTCCTTATTTCTAACCCCCCATAATACATTCTTATTAAAATCCCCATCCCATGGATATCGACACATTCGTGCACTTCTCACTCTACTCTCTTGTTACAAATTAATATTGTTTTTCAATTTTGTTACAATCGAACGTTAAACTTTATTATATTTTACCTGTATAATAAGTTGTCCGTATAAAATAATTTGGATTATATCTCTGTGATACTGGAAGGGTGCTGGTACTTAAAGCACAAGTTTTCTTTTTTTGAGTACCAGCTTTCATATGTTCTGATAATGGCGGTACCTTTTATTTTGCACTTTTTATACTTTGTAACGTTTATGTTCCTTGAATAAATTTATTATTATTATTAACCCTCGGAAAACTTGTGGACCCACTTAGCGGACTATGACCTAAACCCTCGTCTTATTAATCGGATCTTATAAAAAAAAACCCGTGCCCTACATATATATATATAAATGGGTTGATGATGATCTTTAATACTGTACTGTAGTGACTTTATAAAAAGATTAAAAGAGATTACAATACTCGTGGAAACATGTTTCAAGGTCTATAGCACTTACTTTTTTTTAATAAGTATGTCTTACCTCGTCTTGTGATTCTGTGGTAGTCTGATACCCAGGGTTGGCCTGGACTCCAGCCTCGGGGGCGCCATACCTTGTGTACACACGTGGCTGAGTCCTGTACAAAACTTTTGTATTACAAAGTAGCTAAAGCTGAATTCGTAACCTTGATTATAATAAACGAACGAATTTTAAATCTCAGTTGTGTGTGGAAAAGAGTGGTAATGGCAGGATTTTGTATGTCTGGTATTCTGCTAAAAAGTTAGGAGTAGTGACTTGTCAGTGACTAACCATCGAACTACTATTCAATTGCCATTGCAATTTTTTGGTA